AGCTGTTTCGAACTGAAACAAACTCTAAACAAACTTTGTATAGGAACGATCAGTTCGTTTCTCGATTTTGCTTGAAGTGTATTATGACCTTAAAGGGTTAGTTCACCCAAAAAAGAAAATTCTGTCATTAATTACTCACCCTCGTGTCGTTCCAACCCTGTACGAACTTAGTTCATCTTCGCAACACAAATGAAGATATTTTTTATGAAATCTTAGAGTTTTCTGTCCCTCCATTGACAGTCTACACAACTACCACTTTCAAGCCCCAGAAAGTTAGTAAAGACATAATGAAAGTAATCCATGTGACTCCAGTGGTTTAACCTCAAATTTATGAAGCGACGCAAGTGCTTGCACAAAAAAACTAAAACAATTTACAGCTTTATTTACAAAAAAATTATCTATTTAATAGTAAATCTAATAAAACACGAGTTCACCATAACGCATACATGTGAGAGCAGACCTTGTTGCGTGAATACAAGTTGGAGATTAATATTTTGTAAATAGTTTCCGTGCAAACAAAGCACTCGCGTCGCTTCATAAAATTAAGGTTGAACCACTGGAGTCGCGTGGATTACTTTCATGATGTCTTTACTACCTTTCTGGGGCTTGAAAGTGGTAGTTGCGTAGCTGTCAATGGAGGGACAGAAAACTCTCCGATTTCATCAAAAAGATCTTCATTTGTGTTCGGAAGATGAACGAAGGTCTTACGGGTTTGGAACGACATGAGGGTCAGTACTTAATGACAGAATTTTCATTTTCGGGTGAACTATCCCTTTAACCCGGCTCAGTCTTAAAATCGACCACAAGCTCATGATCAGATCTGCCTCCATCCAATCAAACAATTAAACAAGACCCCATTTAGAGTAATCTGAGTATTTGAAAACGCTGTGATATAGCTAATTAAGTACATTTCAGTAGGTTTGAGTATTTATCTGTAATTTATTTAGGTGGTTCTGTTGATATGGGAATGCAGGAAGCCTTTTTAAAAATGCCTGTGCATGAAAGCGATAAAGAACTGAAGCTCAAAGAGAAATGAAAAGAAGCAACATGGAAGGGAGAGCAAATTATGACGACAAAGAGGAAGGACGAATGATCTTGTGTGCCCAGAGCCGAATATCACTTTTAGCAGCCGCAGCTGTTGGGTGGGGGCACAGACACGAAGAGACAGAGAGACAGAGGGGCTTTTAAAGGTCATGTCTTACCAGGCAAACACAGAAACAAACCGTGGAATCACTAAATTACTGACAAATTAGTGAAGGGGGCGATTTGGGCGAGGGCCACCCGTGTCCCGTCACTCTTACTAATGTAGCGCTGCTAACATGTGTGCTTGTGTGACATTTCTGGCATTAATGTGCATAATCCTAAAGATAAAAAAATGTGCACAATAAATAGTACTTATATCTTTCTATCTAGAAAATAGTTTTTTTTTTGGGGGGGGAAAGGAATTAATACTTTTACTCATCAAGGAGGCATTAAATTGATTAAAAGTGTCAGAAAAGACATTTCAAATAAATGCTGTTCTTTTGAACACTATTCATCATAGAATCCAGATGAATGTATGTTGGTTTCTACATTAAAATAGTAAGCATCACAACTGTTGTCAACATTGATAATAGTAATAATAATTCATGTTTCTTGACCATTAAATCATCACATTAGAATGATTTCTGAAGGATCATGTGACACTGAAGACTGGAGTAATGATGCTGCAAATTCAGCTTTGATCACAGGAATAAAATTACTTTTCAAAATATATTACAATAGAAAACAGCTATTTTAAAATTGTGATACAATTTCACAGTATTATTATTATTTTTACTATATTTTTTAATCAAATAAATGCAGCCTTGGCGAGACTTCTTTCACAAACATTTAAAAAAAATCTTACCGACCACAAACCTTTGAATGGTTGTGTATGATTAAGTGAAAATGAAACCATAAATACAAGATTATCAACAATGTCACATGACTGCTTGCTGGTGCAATAGTGTGAATGTCACCAAAAAAAAAAAGAAGATAAAAATCAAATGTCAGTGAATGTATCATGCTTTGTCCCAATTCGGCTACTTTTACTACACCTTAAAAGTATGAACTCTTTTTGTGAAGAAAGAGTTTTGAGTGTGTATCACAAGAGTAGACAAGCTGTGGGACATATACTCGTCATAAAATTGCATCTTTAACAGACGCTCTCTCGTTACGCGTATCCCGTCACGTAAACTGGCCTGTCAATCACATTTAACGTCGTCCATATTTCATTTAACTTAATTTCCTCATTTTTACTTAGTCACTCAAACCCCTTTAACCTCTCTACTTAACCATCGACCGCGCACATCCGCCATGTTTGTAGTTTTTTAACACGTTTTACTTGAGTGTGTAGTTCTGAACCGAATCCTCCTCCAAAGCACAATGGGTTGTGGGCAATATTAGCTGTAAGAGTGTGAACGGATCCACACTTCAAATATCTCCCAGAAACAGTAGACAATCCGGGGACTTCTGGCATACTCTTCAACATACTATGCTGTGGGAAAACACTTATCGTAATCTTTTGGGATGGATAGTATGGACATTGGGATGCACGGTTAGACTTGGGGCACATGACAATCCAACAGTGTAAGAGAGAAGTGTGTGTGTGTATGTGTATCTCAGATGCTCAAGTAGTTTGATCCTCATTGTGCTAGTTCAGCAGAGCTCCCTAAACCTGCAGACCTCCCACAATGCTGTGTGTTTGCCAACACCCAACCCCCAACCACAGGGGGTTTGTTAGCAGCACCCTCCACTTCCGTAATCCCCATCTCTAGCACCCTGCCAAAGCCTGCAACCCCAGGACGCCCCCAACACCAACAACACCCTATTCCCCAGCCAACAGATGGCGAGAGTGCCAACCCAGCCATGTACAGCTCACTAACTAGTAACTATAAGCTAACTGAGTAGTGCACGTCTCAAACCTGACAAAGGATGCTTTGTTCAGAGCGAATACTCAGCAAACATCATCAGACAATGTCCTTAGTTACCTTAAAGATATAGTTAAAACATTTCAATTCATCATTTACTCAACCTTTACTCATTTTGTTGTTGTTGTTGTTTTTTTCATTCATTTCTCCCATAGAAATGAATGGGACAAATGGGATTTAAAAAAAAAAGTTTTCCTTACAGCGTTATAAGCCATGGAACGACTTGAGGGTAAGTGAATGATGACAGTATATTAATTTTTTTTTGGGTGAACTGTCCCTTTAACTCACAATGCAAACAGACCCACAGTGGGTACAAGACACCTGTTCAAACCAAAGGCTAACCCTTAGACAGTGAGTTTAAAAAAAGAGAACCCACAGATATGGACAAGACCCTCGACTTTAGCATAAAAAAGACAGATAGGCTACACTATGTATACACACTGTTTAAATACGGCACACACTCCTCTTCTGAGAGCTAAATCTCGCTCTGTACACACAGAGGTTGGTTATTTACAAGAGTTGCAGTCTCACTGACATCTGAAAACTTCAGGTAGTGAATGAATTGAATTTTACGACTGATACAAGAATTTTGCTTGAAGATTGACTGTCTGTTTACATGTGTTTTTTGACACAGTGACCAAATACTTGTTTTACTACAACAATAAGAAACATACACTATCGTTCAAAAGTTTGGGGTCGGTACGATTTTTTAAATGTTGTTGAAAGAAATTTCTTATGCTCACAGAGGCTGCATTTATTTGATAAAAAATACAGTAAAAATAGTAATATCGTGAATTATTATTTGAATTTAAAATGAACAGTTTTCTATGTGAATATATTTGAATATGTAATTTATTCCTGTGATCAAAGCTGAATTTTCAGCATCATTACTCCAGTCTTCAGTGTCACATGATCCGTCAGAAATCATTATCAATGTTGAAAACAGTTGTGCTGCTTCATATTTTTGATGAAACAGTGATACATTTTTTTCAGGATTCTTTAATGAACAAAAAGAACAGCATTTATCTGAAATACAAATCTTTTGTAACATTATAAACGTCTTTACTGTCACTTTTGATCAGTTCAATGTGTCCTTGCTGAATAAAAGTATTCATTTCTTAAAATCCTACTGACCCCAAACATTTACACGCTATAGATCATTAGTATCATTACTAGTGCTATTGTTATTATTTTTATGCTATATTTTCTATAGAAGTTAAGAATCTTATGCAGCTCTTTCTATCCAGAGACAACTGTCAAGCTCCAAAAAGCACAAAAAAGTACCATAAATGTCCAAAAAACTGTCACTACTAGTTCATTTTTGTGTAGAAAAAAATAAATCTTGCAGGTTTGGAATGACATGAGTAAATAATGACATTATTTTAACAAAGTATTGCTTTAGTACTTCAAGGTAAAAGTTTGATTCAGATGGTTTGTGAGTATGTGTGGGTGGGATAGGGAACACGAAAGATGTGTCTAGCCAGAGAGAACGACAAAGAAAGAGAGAGATGAAGAAGGTTTGTTTTGCATAACACCTGGCTGGTTAGCAGACTTGAGGCAGGTGGTGACCTAACTGACAGACAAACAGGTCAAACCGGATAGGGAAGAGAGACCGAGAGCTGAGAGAGCAAGAGAAAGACAAACACTGACAGAGAGAAACCGAGAGGGAAACACAGAAACGGGAACAGCTTAAAAAGTGAGAAACCCAGACAGTGTCACTGACAGTATGAGAGAGAATTTGGAAGAGCGAGAGATGAAAATAAACCGCAGAGAGAAAAGCAGCCGGCACTGTAAACACACGACAAATGGTGCACTGACGTTCACAGCTCCCGTCCTGAGATCTGAGGTTTACAGGGAGCCAGACGAGCTGAAACGGGGTGTGTGAGCAGAAGAAGCCAGATTAGGAGTAACTGACAGTTTTGGGCTAAATCAAACTGCGGTTTTTTTGACGGGACTATTTCTAAGGGGTCAGGCTAGGATTTCATGTTATTTATGCAGAAACGGTCCTGCCTCAACCCTGACATTAGCAGAATGAGAAGAAGTGCTTACCCATACTGCCTCTGGATCAGGGCTGGATGAACCTGCTGTACTCCAGAAGAGTATCCTGTGACAACAACAGACAAACAACAGAGTCAACGGCCAGTGCCTTGACAGTTAAAGCCACAATTCATCAAACAATCATGACAAGTTCAATGTCACTCCAAACCGTAGGACTTTCTTTATTTAGTGGAACTAGTCTAGTGAAAAAAAGTTCTTTTGGACCCCATTTACTTACAATGACAAAATATCAGCTTTTTCAGGACAACAATGGTTTATTATAGTCTGTCAAGATCCATATTTTCTTAAACTGCAGATCTTTAATCAAATATGCCAATTTAATCAAATTTAGTGCGTTTTTTTTGGGGGTCCTTTTCGGATTCTGTTGGACAGAAAATAATTGAAGATTCTTCAAAATCCCCTTTTTGGGTTTCACTGATAAACAGCATTCAGGGTTTGGAAAGGTGAGTAAATACTTTTCTTTTTGATTCCTTTAAGGCCATGACACACCAAGCCGACGGTCGGCCCATTTTGTCATATTTTTGGACCGATTGAGCATGTTAAATCAGCGTTGGCGCCGTCGGTGAAAGAGAGAACTGACAGGCTGTCCAGAAAGCGATGAAAGCAAGCAAAAAAGTCAAGAAGGTACGGACTGAAGGCTGTTATAATTTTACGTCATCTTATCTGAGCATTCCAATATTTAGCATAACAACATGAGCCGCCTGGAATGAAGAAAAGCAGCATGACTGATATTCAAAGTGGTGAGCAAGCGTCACTTTATTTACAGTTTGTGTATCGGCAGTCCTAGTTCCAGTTTCCCTTTTTGAATGACGAATGTTAATACCTGCTGAAATAGACAGATTTTTACTTACAAGTACGTGCTAGTCGCCTTTAGTCCTTTTGGTGTGTTCAAGCGCAGCTTTTTGGTCGAGACGCAGCCGACAACTTTGACGTCGGCCCGGTGTGTCATGGCCTTTACAGGAATGATCCAGATTTGAAGCTCTTTCAATGGCATACTGTCGATTACCACAGAAAATACGTTCACCTCATTCTCCAGTTTGTAAACATGAACAAACATGGTTTGTAGAGTAAAGCGCTTATAATGGAGGTTAATGGGACAGGACATTGCAAGGCATGTTAAAATACACACTTTTTTGAAAACATAGCCACAAGACCTAATCCTCGTTTGTGTAAACATGAAACTAGCGTGATAAAATCACTTTCATCTCAAAATCTGTCATGACCACATAAAAACCCAAGGAACGGGGTCGTTATGAAAAACATAACCAGAGATTCATCATCCTACAACAGAATCTATGCAGCTGAATATAACTCACCTGAATATAATTTTTTTTTTCCAGCACTGGCTGTTTGGCCGATAAGTGTCAGAAACAGGACTTTTATTTTGACAGCGCCAGAGCACAGCTCACTTTCTGCATCTATATTAGTTTACTTTCTTTAATACTTATGTCTTATTATAAATTATAAGACATTACAAGACATTTTTTTATATGTATTCCTTTTTTAATTTATTTCTAATTCATTAAATATTATGTCATTAAATAAATTTCAATGCAGCATATGCTACTTTAAACTACATGATATCATATATATCAGCCATCGGCCGGCCACCCTGCTCTCTAAGATATCAGCATTGGCCATTAAAGACAACAACATCGTTTGACCATTAATAAGTACTATAACAAAAATACAAGCGGCATATTTCTGCTTTTAACTCCTCTGAAATGTCTTGCCCCATAGACTCACATTGTAAGTCCATTACTGTACTTGTGCTTTTTTTGTTTAAGTCACTGTGTCGATAAAGCCTCACATCTCAAACCCACAACACTAAAGACATCTTGGCAGTGAATTAAGGTTAATGTTTGTTAAATAGAAGAAATTGAATGGAATTAATTCACTATCCTCTCTCTGGACATTTGTCCTTAGAGTCATTCATTGTCAATTTTTTTACTTGCCCTGTATTTGACATTCATGATGCATGTTTATTATTCTGCGTCCTCCACAAACACACACTCCTTAGGCTTTAATTGGCACTCATTCTCTCCGTTCACCCAATATGCACTTTTGTTTTTTTCTTTCTATTTTTCCTCTCTTCCTGTCTGCACGCTCTCATGAAGTCGCTCATGTGAAAAACTCCAGGCTGTCTGTTCTCCAGCGTAACAGTGTATCTGCCCGGACACAGATCAGAAACATCTCTCGCCTGGATGCCCATTCAACACACACACACACACACACACACACACACACACACACACACACACACACACACACACACACACACACACACACACACACACACACACACACACACACACACACACACACACACACACGCACACACACACACACACACACACACACACACGGCTCAACAGCCTCTTCACACAGCACTCCAGCACTTGCATAAACACACTTTAGCCTTTACACAAACCTTATGGTGAACATAATTCAACTTGTGTTTCTCTATGTCTATCAAAAAATCTCTATGTCCATTAAACATGGGCCAGTGACTTGACATACATTTTGTATGTTACTAAAAAATACATTAAAAATGCAATCCATACAGAACATGGCTTGAATATACCTTTCTTATGATGATTTCTCATGCATGTTTTTAACTCTTTCCCCAGGTTGCCAGCCAGCACCAGCATTTTTGATCATTTTCACAAAACTTTCATTCAATGAAAGAAAATTCTTTCAATGGCCGGGGAAAGTTTAGGAATTGAATTTTATTTTGACAATTTTTGCAGAGCTTAAAGTCAGAATTGTCTAGGTGGTGTAAAAGGCTTTGGCACCAGTAGATAGGCATACGTTTTGAAAATAATTGGTAAAGCAGATTTGTTTTTTAATAATTTGTATCATTTAAAAAAATTTCTGTCAAAACAAAAGTATACTCAACATAAGTGTTGAATAAAACATACACAATTAAAAACCGTTTCCTTTAAATAGAAGCAAAGCTGAAATTATTAGATTAAAAATATTAGATGAAATTTTTTTACTTAACGAACGTAAACAAAATTAGAAATAACATAAGTATTATGACCTTTATACAAAAAAGTGCATGAACAATGTTACCCAGAATAACAATTAGTGACAATTGACAACGTGACAATTAGTCTGAATAGAAAAGAAAAAAAAACGGTATGTGACAATGGTCACAACGGCAGAGGAGAGAGAGAGAGAGAGAGCGAGAGACAGAGCGATACAGGACTGCCGTTTGTTGGGATGAGAACAAGAGCAGAGGCCGAAATATCCTCTGTTCCTTTGTGAATACAGTGTGTTAGGACAGGTGTATGTGCTTTAAGTTCTCTTGACAATACCCTTCCTCTTTTCAGACATATTAGCCACAGAGAAATGCAAAGTTGGAGGTTAAACGTACAGATAGACATGCTGAGTTCAGCATACCAATTTCTGCCAACACATTCACACACATGCAAAGATGCAAATGCAGGATGGCAGTAAATTCTTGACAGGCTTATAACCCGTCAAACAAACTGTTAAAATAAGTGCGAGTTTGTGTTTGTGTGAATCTGCTTGTGTGTGTGTGTGTGTGTGTGTGGTATATTTGTGCAGAGTACAAACACCATTATGATACTGAGGGCATGTTATGATGAAAACATACATCAGTGTCAACAGGAAAAAGCTGCAACAATTTCTCTACCGTATAAGGGAAGAAGAACTTCAAACAACTTTACAATTCATTTCTTAAAGGGGTAGTGTATCATTTCTCATACAGCAGAATAGAATAAATCACTTTCAAAACAGGGAAATGTTAAACAGCCCAACATGGCAACACTGTCTCAGCCAATGGTGTGAGTTTGGGAGAGACCAATGGCAGAGAGGGGGAGGGTTCGGGAAACCAGTTTGAAAACAGGCATTATTTTTGCATTTCTGTGATGCATAAATAACACCGCTCACCTTTAAAAGTGACAGAACAATTATAGTTAACTAGAGTATTTAAAAGATAAGTACCGTAATTTGCAGAAGTTTAAGGCTCATGTCTGGTATTTACCTGTCAGTGGACTGCGTGGTTTGGCCCCGAGGTACGCCAGGTTGACATTAGCTTTGCGTCCATCAATAATAGGGTTGGGATCTTTACAAGCTCTCTCGGCTGCACTTTTATCTATCATTGTGACCTGAAAAGGAAAGAGAAATTTTAAATACAGACACAAGTTTATTAGGGGTGTAACGATACCCTCATGTCACGATTCGATACATATCACGACACTGAGCTCACGATACGATATTATTGCGATACTCCAAGACATATGGTAAAAGGTTAACAAAAAATGCACTGTTGATTAAAATGCTACATTTGGTATTACATTGTGGGTGGGTGTACATGAATAGGCTTGGACTTAATGCGCTTGAATGGACAGAAAAAAACACATGAAATGATGTCAAAATGCTTGTTTTTGGCGAGTATCCTCATAAGCACAATTTAAAAAGCCTTAAATGAACGTACAGAGTTGGGAGAACATTAGTCTCACGTAGCCAGCTTTCATTGGACCGCCCAGAGGTCGTCTGACTGACACCCAAAGAAACTAATCACAGTTCGCTTTGTTCTGCTTCATGTTTTAGGGGTGTGAAATTATAAAGTTGATGGTCCTACAATAACAGACTGGGTATGTGACTCTCTGGTACTTTGATGCCTGCGCATGGGACGGGTGATCAGGTCCGGGTCATGTGCATTAGCTCTTAAAGTGACAGCAGCCTATTATGCAGCATTAATGTTCATCAAAATCACTCACTGCTCTTTACTAAATAACTTTTGCAGCTTTAATAATGATTAATATATATTTAATACAGTGAAGACTACATTTGTTTACAGTTATTTTACATTTGCTTACTTTAGTCAATTTCTGTAGTATTTCTGACCTGACTACTGTCAGACATACCTGGAAATCTTAAAGCAATGATTATTTCATTTGTATCTTTGTTCTAGTGTATTTATTTGTGCTTTATTTATTTCACTGGTATGTAAAATGTTGGCTTCTTCAACAACCTTATTTATACGTAAAGAAAAGATACTTATGTAAAGGTTACATGGGTTAAAAACTATGAAAACAAAAACTATATTTTTAGAATTGACCAACTTTATGTTGTTTCTACATTCATTTGCAGATTCAATGTGTGTGTATTATGTGTTACAATATAAAAATACATTGCAAATTTTTATGTTAGGTGCAATTAATTGTATGCTAATTAATTACAGAAAAATGGGATTAATTATTTAATATTTTTTAATCAATTGACAGCATTTTAATATATATAGTAGTCAACATTTGAAGTGGACCAAAAAAGTTTGAACGGGTATTGTTCAAAATTCATGTATAACTTTAATGAAAGGTTTTGATCCACTTCGAAGGTTGACTACTGTTATATATATATATATATATAGATAGATAGATAGATATATAGAAGGATAGATACATAGATCAATAAAAGATATAATATATATATATATATATATATATATATATATATATATATATATATATATATATATATATATATACTCATAGCCTAATTGTTTTTCGAAATGAAAAAAAGTAATTATTTTGCATATTGTTTTTATTTTCCATTGTCTCACTGTTATTTCTTCCTAAATTTATAAACCCACTTATAAACCCTTATAAATTCATATTTAATTGAATTGAAGATGTCTTAATAACATCTTATGTCATCCTTAAACTTTAATAAGAAGTATCCTTAAGCTATAAGTATTGTGATAAAGGAATACGTATTGCAACTGTGAAACATGCATTGTCTGTTAAGCCGCTTTGAAACAATGTCTGTGTGTTGAAAAGAGCTACACAAATAAACTTTAACTGAATTAAAAAGAAAGAATAACCTCTTTGAAATGATTTCATAATGCTATATGCAAAAATAAACTGACATGATATACCAATATTGAGTCCAATGCAGTTCATCTTATCAACTGATCAAAAATACTGTTAATTCTTCTACTGTCTATTGCTGCCTATTTTTTTATTGGCTCTTATAAACCACATTTAACTCTTTGCTGGATTCATCTTAAAAGTACAAGCGTGTTATTAATACCAAATGTCAATACCACGAATTAAGTAGAAAATGTTTTTGGGTGTTTTAGTGAGGCGGTTAAGCAGCCTCAACTGCTGACTTGTTTTCACAGCTCAGGTCTCTGTGACAAATGCACTTCCAGCAGGCTGCAATATTAACACACACACACACACACGCGCGCGCCCCACCCTGTGGAGACCCAGTGGCAGCTGTGTTCCCCAGGGCTGGTGAAACTAGAAATACAGCCAGAGCAGTAGCGGAGCGGTTAGGAAGAGATTTCGTGGGATCTGGTTTCTGTCAGGTAAACACCAGAGTGTACGCTTCATTTCTGTAGTGCCCTTGTGTGGAGAGCGTCTCAGTCTGAACACGAACAAAACAAGCACACACACTCACTCACACTCATAGCTGCCACCATGTTATTATCTCAGTAGTCACAAAACGCGGCTAGCAAATGAGGTGACAAGCCTCAGTGAGTGTGTTGGGAAAACATTAGGGCCGTGTTGTAATCTTCCGGGAACTCTTCTGGTAACCCTCACTCGTTTTTTCTTATTCCAGAATATTAAGACTTAGACGAGGCCTCCCACACAGGGAGTGTATCAGCCAGCATATTAAAGACTATATCATTCACGACTGTCGTGAATACTCTCTCTCATACAGTCTCTTTTATTTCCTTCCCTTTCTCACACCCTTGGTTTATCTAATGTGCATGTTTACACCTTAGCAGATACAGTGCCCAAAAAAGAAAGAAAGAAAGAAGAAAAAGCATGAAGTGAAACTGTGCGGCCTTATCTGTGCTTTCCAACGGCTTTTGAAGGCAAACCACGATACAGTTCTGTACCAGTGAACACAGACGCTATAGAGAAACTCACGAAACCCGTGCAGATCATATTTCATCCCCCAAAAAACAAAAGAAAACAAATTAAGAAATTACATTTTACTTTTATCAAATGTAGAAGACAGGTCCGAAAAGTTTTTTTGCATTATTACAAAAAATTGTAAAGAAAAATAACTTGTTCTAATCACTTTAATGTAAAACATTTAGATAATTATATATTTTTAAAATAAAATAGTACAATCTGCATCCTAGTAGAGTTGATGTAAACATATTAAACAAGATGATGTGTAATGTGATTTGATTATTTACCACGGTGTTCTTTTAAGATATTCCATAATATCAAACCACTGTATAACTTTATTATTACATTGCATGGTAGGCTATGTTATAATACCATCATGGTATTATATTACACCCAATAACATCAATTTACCATGTTACTGCCATATTAATGGTCCATTGAAGTCCCTTTAAATGCGTATGCATTATTCAATGTGTTGATGTAATTTCCACTGAAACAGGAAGACAGGGCGGGGCATATCAAACAGACCCTCCCCTTTTTAACAATAGCCAATAGTGTTTCGTTTAAATATCACAGCTCGGCCAGAGCCGTTGAGCTCGGTAAAGCCGCAGTTTCCTCCTAATCTCTAACCCAGGGGTCGGCAACCCAAAATGTTGAAAGAGCCATATTGGACCAAAAAAAAAAAAAAAAAAAAATCTGTCTGGAGCCGCAAAAAATTAAAAGCTTTATATAAGCCTTATAATGAAGGCAACACATGCTGTAAGTGTTATATTAACTTTATTAGTATCAAAATGATAAGTAGGCTACAAATTAGAGCTTAGATCGGGCCCAAAAAATCAAGCTCGGCCCGACACATTAAACGTAATTATGAGCCCGAGCCCGATTTTAACCCGACCATTTTTTAATGCGTGGGTCGTTATAACTGACGTTCTCAACTTTCTTTCTCCCGCCCGCAACATTTATGTTTTGTCCCGCTCCCGCCCGCAAATAGACTTTTTTCTGTACCTCCAAATACTTTCAAGTTAGCCTACGTGTCGCCACCGTATCCTCCTGATACATTATTTGTTATTAAAGCATTAAAACACAAACCACTGTTAATTTAACATAAAAGCAAGCAGTTTACTATGCGTGCATGGTTTGGCATGACTGCATGCGCGCAAAGTGCGCTCTCTTAATAATTCCTAAAAAGCTGACAGTTCATCACAATCTCACACATCTCTGTTATTATCAATGAAGCTGACTGCACAATGAATCTTTCATAATATCCACACTTTGTTCGTTATAATTAGAGGATTTGCCAGCATACAGAATTCAGCACTGAACAAAAAAGTCAGTTTTGAGCGGTGAGGGGAGTCTATCTTAAATGTTTCTGATTGGCCATTGCGTTCAAGAAATCAGCACATATGTCTGTGATTGGCTATATCGCTCAACGCTGCAAACATGTTATGAATAGAAATTCTGGCCTGTAAATCGGTTTTATTTTGTTTTAGTAGAGTGAGTGCATTACCGCACGCGCCCGCGCTCGGCCATCAAATCTAGTCCCGCGCCGCACTAGAGTGCGTTGGGAGTGCTCAGCTATCTTTCTCTTTTTCCCCTTGGGATCCAGGGCCCATGACACACCCGCCGGTTTGTTTGTCAGCCACCGGTCTGGCATCACGCCGATCTGACAGACACGTGTGTCACAGTCTATGACGTAAATTCTTCGTTGACAGAAATGTTAAAATTAAATATTTATTATACACATTTTTACAACGTTGAAAAACTTTAAGAATATTTGACATGTTTTTCCTCCTACAGAAATTATATTAAAACAAAAAAATATATTTTTTCCATTTTCAAATTTTTGAAAAAGCTCCAGGGAGCCACTAGGGCGGCGCTTAAGAGCCGCGGGTTGCCGACCTATGCTCTAACCGATCCGCTCTGTGCTATCATGTCTCTGGACTGGAGCTGCGGCGGTTTGTGTGACAATAATGTGACACCAGACTTCATTCGTCCCAATGGAAAGCATTACACTATCTAAATCGTTAAATCGTGTGAACAAGTGACAGATTTCACCCCAGCTTCAGCATCTATTTATAATGTAGGGGGCGGAGCTTCAGATTCTAGAGAGCATTTGATTGGACAGTAAGTCTGATGAGAAGCTGAAGTGCAGAGTGATGTCATCAAAATCATTGACCCATATTGGAGGAAGTGAGACTGTAAGTTTTGAATGCTTATATCTTCTAAATGTGAATTTTGTCATTGCTTTTATAGATAACAGTAAGACTAACATATTCACACTAAAAGCCAAAAAACTTCAATTTTGGTTTCATGGGGACTTTAAGGCTTGCATATATGCAAAGAGGCACAGTGAAAGAAAATAATGCAATGACAGGGAAAGCCACTCATTTGATGTTATAAATGCAGTCAGATGTGGTTGGCTGAACAAACGGTCATTAGGGCCGTTCCTCAGGGCCCCTCATAATAACCTCCATATTAAGTGAGCAGAGGTTGGCTTTGCAGCATATCACAGCAGATAAACCCTTGGACCGGACTATGCTTTCCACTTACAAAGCTTAAAAGAAGTATTTAAAAGGGGCCACTTGACAGAAATCTGAGACCCTGCTCTCAAACTTCATCCAAGAGGCTAAGAAGATAATTGATGACATGCTTTTTTAGAAATAATCCACTTATGGTCCCACATGTGACTCTCAACATCACACCCACACACACTTGTGGAGCAATGCAATGTAAGAACATATTGTGCCCCCGAAAAGCTCTCAATATCTAAGGATTACATTTAAGATCCTTCAGCACCAAATCGGACTAGGTGGAAAAACATTTAGGCCTATTAAAAAGGGCTCATTCTAAGCCTACAAATCATCATTTGTTACTAGGATATGCTTCACGGCCATTTAGAGCCATGTTGGAGCTAAAACACGCAGTTCATTGAGCTGCTGATGGAGTTTATACTGTAGTGTAGTAGATCTACGCTGGCTTTTGTTTCCTCAGAACTGTAACAAAAGACGCGCGCCAAGCCAACGGCACGCGACGGTTGCATTGTCACCTAGAGACCGCACGCGCACGAGCGACACGTTCTAGTGAAGTTCTGTGAATCGGTTCTTTTGGATAGTTCGTTTCAAAGAGCCGGTTTAAAGAACGCATTCAGCGATTCTTTAATGTAATAACATGGTCCGTTATTTTTAAAATGAAATTTAGCAATTAAAAGCAACTCTATTTTGTAGTGTGTTTATAAAAAGCTCACTTCTGGGTTCATTACGAGTCGGACGGACATGTCTCTTTAGAGACGTTTACCGGTTCAATGCCGTTGCATGTGTCCGTTGAACAGTCTACGTTGAAACAATCCGACTCTAAAGAACAATTGATTCAAGAATCGGTCCACAACAACCGCTCTAGCACAACTGCGGTCCACAACAGCTCAAAGTCGCGTTTATTCCTATAAAATGAGTTTTATAAATTTCCACGACAATACCTAACACGGCCAATAAAGTGCACATAGCCTAGTTAAACGTTGCGCAGAGTAAAATTTGAACGGACTGAGTACTAAAACCCAACAAAGGCAAAGTGTTGTTCTTCGCGTTAATTTCACAAGCTGTTGAGAGTTAGCTATAGCCTAGACAGCAACAACAACTGATGTACGACATTTGTACTTACAAAGCCATATCCTCTGGATTTCCCAGTTTGTCGGTCCGTTATTACCACGGCTTCATCGATGTCGCCGAAAGTCTCGAAGTATTTGCGGAGCGACGCGTCCGTGGTGTGATACGGCAGACCGCCGACGAAGATCTTGGTGAAAGTCGTGTCTTTCTGAATACTGGGAGACATCGTTTCCAACGTCCCATTCACGAACTGATGTAAAAGCATCGGGGCGCGAAATTCAGTGCAGTGTAGATACGAAACGCGCGGGTTATAAATAAATATAAATAAACATAAATAACGAACGCTTCTTCTGCTACTCTAACAATGTTCGCGAAGGCAGCGAGGTAGATAGTCCTTTAGCTTGGAAAAAAACAACAACTGTGGCTCCCGTTGCTCTCCGTCATGTGCCAAACTACTCCACTAGTCCATGAGCGGAGAAACAATGAGGGCAGGTGACTGACGGACTGACGCTCGCTCGCGCCGCTCAACTACAGTAACACACTCACACCTTCCTGCCTCCACATCCAATGCGATGCTAGTCAAGCACCCCTCCTATTCCTGACGCCCACAGACCCTTCCTCTGCCTCACCTTGTTTCCAAACTGCACTTGCCTTTGTTCTGAGCCCCTGCAGAAACTGTGGCTTTGAGTCTTCCGTGTGGTTTTGATGACTGACTAGCTATACTTGAGTTGCAATGAATATTAGGGGTTTTGTTGTTTTTTTACAACCTGGTGCATTAGTATTTCTTTATGCAATTGCCAAAACAACATAGTTATCCATTGAGATAGGCCTACTCATAATGACACGGAAAGTCAATGTATTGTTTCCGAGCATATATAGTGGTCCATGTGTTTGAAATGGTTGATGTTATTATCTGGAGAGCATGGATACATGGCAGTGCATGGGGTCCAAAAGTCTGAGACCAAAAAACTTGCAATTGAAATTCTAATTCCTGATTCTTAAATCTTTAAATGAAAATAATGCTTTAGTATTCTGATAAAAAAAAAAAAAACGAGGAAAAATTATAACAAAATGATATATGTCAGATTCAGATTAAAAGTATATATGTTCATGCAAATTGTTCTGCTGATTTTAACATCTGCATTTTAAAAATGTTTTGTTGTTGTAGATGCAATATAAAGGCATTTTTTAAGAATGAAAAATAATTAAAAGAATATTTAATTTATAGAAAATTTACTAAAAACAACAAAAGCAAAAATTCTTTTTGCATCATTTATTGAAAAGGCTGCTCTCAAAAAAACATCTAGGCCTAAATTGACGATTTATGCATTTGGATTGCATACAAGATTGCAATCCATTTGAAAAACATATCATAAACTTAATGTGATGCATATTTATCAGTAAAATAGGTAAGATTTCTGCGCTCAAAAAAGTAATGGCATATATTATTATTAACCATGCATTTGCGTCAATTTGATTTTATTTAAATAATCATCTTTTCAAAATCCAAATTGCTTTGAATCAGCATCTGTTCATTGTGAAAACACTAACAATTATTCAGTTATAAAGTTTAAAAAAAGCCAACATGATTACTTGCCACATCCACAGACTTAAAATGGAAGAAAAAACAAGGCTTACACGTTTCATTTTTTGAAAGTTGATGGTCCACTTTAGACACAGTAGACTGTGTATATATATATATAGGCTATATATACACAGACACACACACATAGGCTTTTATCAGAATATAAATGTGTATGTGCGTTCCCTAGATGACAATTTCATATGATGCTTGATGAAGGGGTCGCTCAGCATCAAAGAACTCAACACCAATCTGCCAGTCACTCACATACTGTCATTTACATTTACAGTGTAGCCTTATGTGGGAACATCGACACCCCTGACACTCTGGTCACAGGAACCGCAGGAGCTACAGCTCTGGCCTGAAGGCTAGTGGAGGAAACGTTTCTCACGCCTGCAGCCAGCAAGTCTGAAGGGGAGAGTGATGAAAGAAAAAGGAACAAACGTTCGAAGACAGTTGCAGGAAGGACAGATATGAGGCATTAGAAGAATCCTTCTTGACTAACCAGTCACTTTTTTTGCATTCAGCATCTGTATGCATACATTCGTGTGTTATCAAGAAGACAATTTTCTTACTGACAAAAAAGAAAAAAAGGAAGTGCTAAATGTGTTGCAGTTTTCTTTGGGGCCTATATGCAAGTTTGATTCCTTTTTTCTTTTAGACAAAACTGTTATTTTTTGTATTATTTAAAGTATTTCTTAATGTTTTGAATTATATATTATTTTTTAATCTTCAGTTTTATGAAATGTAATTTTAATCAAGTTAAGTTTTAGTAATTTAACTTTGGTCATTTTCATTTGTTTTCTAAAAATTATTTAGCTAGTTTTTGCAGTTTTAGTTTTATGTCACACAATTTCTGTTTCCCACTTTCTATGTTTTTAATCTAATATTTATATTTAATTTTATTTCAATGAACATGCTTTTTAAAATAGTTTTAGTGTTAACAATAGCCACACTGTAAAACAATTTGGGTTTCTTTCACAACTTCATGTCCTGTGTCCAATCCGGGGTTTTGATCAAAATCAGCTGAGAAGATTTAATTAAAAAAGTGTTTTTTTTTTTAAAAAACTTGTAAGCCTTAAAGGGACAGTTCAGCCAAAAAGAATACCTGTGTCATCATTTACTCACCCTCATGTCATTTAAAACCTGAATGACTTTTGTTTCTTTGTAGAGCACAAAATTAAATATTGTAAAAATGTTGTTTTGGTCCCCAATTTCTAGGGCAAACAGAGTCAAACAAACCTTCATAATATCTCCCTCCGTGTTTCACAGAAGAAAGAATCCAATCAGGTTTAATGATGTTTTGGGTGAACTATCCCTTTGATATGCAGCATTTAGTGTACTTTTTGTGTACTTTTGCCTCGCCTGCCCACTATACATCAGATTAAACTTCACGCACAATGCCAAGTGCCAGTGTCCAACACATCTATCAGTCTATATACCACAGCAACAATGGTGCAAGTCACAGCGAGGCGCAGACAGGCTCCACAGTATTGTGCTGAATCCAGCTCCTCTCTCTTGCCTAGCAACTGTGTCTATAATGCAGTTGTTTTGAGCTCAGCGCTCTTGAAGACAGACAGTAAACATCTTGAGAGGTTCTATGCCCACTATACAGTAAGGCTTCTGACAAAAATGTTGAGAATAACTGAGAATAGCGAGACGTAGGAGTGACTTTATCGGCACATCTTTGCTAAGTATTAAGGCTTTGGTGTTAGAACATTGATCGAGATCTCACACCCTCTCCAGCCTCAAAGACTGTAACGTGCAGATGTTCACACCTCCGGAGCCTGAAAGGGATTGAAAGACCCTTTGTCTGCAGACAAATGCCTCTGTCCGATGACTTGAACGCCCAACTCAATAATACTCCAGAGACCTTCATATTTATAGGACTGTATTTGGAGTGTTATGACTCATCAATCTTGGAGTAGGTAAACACTTACAAGTTCTAAAACGAAATTGAGCTACAGTAAGTAAGGAGAACACTGTAACTGTAACTTTCCTGTGTTGTTTCCCCTGTCTTGTGTTGTGGACTCTTAAGTGGATAAATGTATAGTTTTGTTCCCATTGTTCCTGTGTTCTCAGTTCCTGTTTAGTTTCTGCTTGCTTTATGCCTTGCTAGTTTCCATAGTTTACTTCGTCTGTTGCCATGGCTACTCTTTGCCTTCGCCTGTCCTTTGTTACCTTGCGAAGGTATTAATGTTATTTCGGGAGGAGTATTGTCTGCTGGTGTCCTACGTGGATGTTATGTGCTTTGTTTAGTTCTGTTTATCTCGTGTTTGGAATCTCCTGTTTGTTACCTGGATTTAATTTAGTTGTTTTGTTTGAATAAATCAGTCACTGTATTTGTATCCTCCTCTCTGTCCTTTCTGAACTGCCTCATAACAGAACCCCAGACCCTGTAAAGATGGATCCAGCAGTCACCCTAATCCGGGACCACATCAGAGACTTTCTGGATGATCGACTTCTTATGCCACGGACTAAAGAACCCGTTACAATCTACACTTATCCGTGATGGATCCCTGAGTGAATTCCTATATTACACCCTTCAGAGATGTGGTTCCCCCTTAACTGTGGTCTCTAGATACGGTGGTCACGGAGTTTGGGCCCCCAAGGGTCACAGCCGTCATGGTTGCCATGTCAGATCCCTCAGCCGTCATGGCCACTATATCGGAATCCACGAAAGCACGTGGCGGTCGGGATGCGCTGAGACCGCCGTAACGGGACAGGCGGAGAGTTCAGAGACGGCCTTCTTGGCCAACATCCCCACCATGAGGAAGTTCCCAGGCACTGTAGCAGGACCGAGGCCAGACAGCTGACATCATCTGAGGGACACGAGACCTCAACGTCTGAAAATTAATCAAATAACATGAATTGCATTAAAGACAAAGACGATGCATGTCTTTACATGCTTGTAAAAAAAAAGTACAAGCATGCATTTTCTCAGAACTGATGTGCATCATAGGCCTACACAACTCTCTGTGATATGTAATTAGTAAATAGGTCTTTAAAAATAGTTTTGCAATATAAATAAAACGTTTTTATGCTTTATGTGATCACGTGACCAACGGTTTACTTTCCATTGCATAATGCAAATAATGATGAAAAAAGAAGCTCCACACATCCTGTGGGTTGTTTCTAAAGCCTGACATATGAAATATGAAAAAATAGTCAGAATTATTTTCATAAATTGAACCTTCAGGCAAAATCTAAATCTAATGTTGTTTATTTATTGAGAATCATAATTTATACATCAGTCTTAAGGCTCATTATATAGTATCTGGAGGTCATACATAAGAAAGAAAAAAACACCTTAATATTTTTCAGAGGCCCAAACTGAGCAAAAAATATGCAATTTGCTGCAGTTGCTGATATTTATAGTCAAAAGTATGATGAAATTCGGATAGCTTTGTAATCTAAATCAATGAGAACAGTATAGCAGAGTACCATACAATGCACATAAATATCAGTTGATTATCAGTCAGATTATCAATATCAGTCACTATATCTCCCAATAATATGTCTTATTAAGATAGTATTTAAATGTTTAGTTTAAAAAAAAATCAAAGCTCTGTAGTTTTTATTGTGGAGGCAAAACATATAATGCATTACAATGACGATTGAAATAATAAATAAAAAAAATCTTCAAAAACCTTATGGTTCCTATTTGATATAGGCTAACTACAGTAGTCGACATTTGAAGTGAATCAAAACCTTTCATCAAAGTTATACATAAATTTTGATCAATACCCGTTCTTGTCTTAGGACAACTTTGATGATCCACTTCA